TGTGGCTGGGGGAGCCAGGGGGAGGGCATCTAGGAGGTGGCCCTGCGTTTATGGGATCGCACGGAGATACGGAAAATGTGTCGTCTGTCTGATCAAGAGCCGTGCAGACCCTCCATCGGCGGCCTCCCAGTCCCCTCAATAGGCTCCCTGCTGATGACCCCTCTGAGAAAGGTCTTCCCCAGGTCAGAGGGGTCTTAGAAGCAGCTGAACTTGGGATAAATCCCAGATCTGCCATTTGTTGGCCATGTGATCTTGGGCAAATCCCTTCCTCTGAACCTCCTTGTCTGTAAAATGGGACAAATACAATACCTCCCCGAAGAACGGGCATTCTCAACCTTGGCGCGATGGCCGCTTTGGGTGGCATAACGCTTACCCACTAGATGTCAGTAGCAGCACCCGCCCCACCAACCCCAATTCTGGTCAGAGCAGGCCCTCCTTGACCCGCTCCAGGTGCTGCGCCCCGACACTGGTACTGGGAACAGGGCGCCCTTCTGGTGATGAGGGGAGGGCCCGGGGCCTCTGCTGGTCTGTCCGCTGAGGCTCTGCAGCCCCAGATGGCGGGGACTGAACGGGGAAGGTGGGCCCACCAGTGCTCTCTGCCCCGGGGGGCTGGAAGGAGGGGAAGAGCAGAAGACGAGAGAGAAGAGACAGAAAAGACACGGGGGCCTGGGGAAGAGAGATGGAGAGGAACCTAGTGAGAGGCAGGAGGGAAGAGATGAGAGAGACAGGCACTGGGGACAGCGCCTTCGTGACCAGGGAACAGACGGTGAGGGAGACCTAAGGAGCCCAGAAAGAGAGAGGAAAAGAGGGGAGTGGTCAAGCAGAGAGAAACGCACACTCAGGAGGACACACGGAGAGAGAAGAACAGGAAGCCAAAGGCCTGGAGAGAGAGGAGCAGGGAGAGAAAGAACGGAGCGGGGAGAGAAAGGCAGAGAACAACCGAGACAGACAACGGAGTCACAGCGCTGGGAAGGGGTGAAGAAAGGTGGTGGGAGGGAGGAAGGGGAGAGCAGACAGACCGATGGTGGCATGGCCACCGGGCCAGAGACAGGGGCTCCCTGAGCGCACCAGTCAGAGGGGCCCGGAGGGGAGCTGAGCAGTGGAGCCCTTACCGCCTGCTAAGCTGTGTGCATTCGCTTTGCATCCAGGACCTCACTGAATGTAGAGGGGTGTTGGGGTTCGGGGCCGCCGAGCGTCTGTGAGCTCGTGCTCCAAAAGCTCGTGAGTGGGGCTGAGGGCTAGGTTCTGGCCGAGGTCCACCCCCGTGGGTGGACTCCTTGCTGCTCCTGCCACTTCTAGCTCCAGAGGACGTGGGGACACTAAACTCTTGGAAACTGGTCACGAAGGCATGTAGATGATGAGCTGTCATCTCTGGGAGACTAGGAGGTGGGTACCCAGCGGCTCTGCTGCCTCTAGACCCAGCCCTGGGATCACATCCAGCGGTAGGTTGCAGTGCTCCCCCTAAAGCACACCAGCTGTCACGCACACCCTTGGGTCACCGCTTGGCACACGGACTCTTGGCCACGCAGCTTGCTTTGGCCAACGCGGCATCAGCGAGTGTGACAGAAGCGGAGGCTCGACCAGCCCTTGTGTGCTGGGGGGCCTGTCCTCTTGGAACCCCCAGACCACTGTGCTGGAAAAAAGCCCAGGAGGAAAGGCCACACGGAGGGAGGGGCCCAGCCACGCCAGCTGTCCCAGCTGACTGGCCCGCTGACTGTTGCCACACGAGTGACCCCAGCAAAAGAACTGCCCAGCCAACGCACAGAATTATGACCAATAATAAACTGTTGCTGCTTGAAGTCACTATGTTTGGGCGCAGTTTGTCATACAGCCGTAGATAGCTGATGGAGAAATCACGTTCCCGGGCC